ACATTTCCTTCTTCTCCTTGCAATTGTTTATGTTCTCGATCTCCTCAATCACCTCAATCTCCGCAATTTCTTCCATCTCTTCCATTGTTCACTAAACACCACGCAAAAAACTCCTGTCCTCTTGTCACTTTCACAATTAAAAAAAATATAATACACAATTCTATTATGTGGTATTTTTAAAACCAAATTGAATTTCAAGTCTACCCAATATCAATATTATATATATAAATATTGAAAAAGTAGACCTTATTATGATCCGAGTTTTTGCACGCGTTCAAACAGGCAATTTCACCATAAACACATATGAGCGATCGCTGCTTATACGTACAAAGGCCGGCGACCCCCTGAATCGTCGTTTGTTTCTAATTGAACAAGAACTCGCCGAACGCTCTAACGCATGCGCTAATACCAGTCGGGTATCAGTGACAGGCCCAGAGGCACTCACTACTCCCCGACTGATATGAGAGGGTACGTTCGCGCGCTTCGCGATTTTTCTTTCCCGGCTCCTCAATTCTTTATTTCCCTTATTATCTATTTCTCGTGGAACCAAACGTTGATGTTTGTCACCTATATGTAAGATAGTGTGAGAATAAACGATTATAAATATTTTTTTTGTAATTAACAATAAAATGTTTTTTGTAACACTAACCTCTAAAGGTACTACTATAGTATAGTATTACTATAGTACTACTATAGTTAGTATTACTATAGTACTACTATAGTTAGTATTACTATAGTACTACTACAGTTAGTATAGTACTACTATTATAATTAGTATAGTTCTACTTTAGTACTACTATAGGTAGTATAGTGCTACTATAGTACTACCATAGTTAGTATAGTACCACTATAGATTTACTGTAGTTAGTATAGCGCTACTATAGGACTACTATAATTAGTATAGCACTACTCTGGTATAGTATTACTATTGTACTTCTATACTTCTTTTTCGTCATAGTTCAACCTTGAAAGTTTCAGTTATATGATTACATAAATATATGTAATGTATGTATACATGTATAAAAAAATTTTATTTTTATTTATTTAAATATTTGTATTAGAGGGGGAGGGTGCAGGTGAGTGTTGCAAAAAATGTTGTATGACACTCGTGCGTAAAGTTGATTATAACTTTACGCCCTTGTATCATAAATAACTATTATACATTAATTGCGATAATAATAATAATTGTGGGTCAAAATTCGTGAATTCGTCACAAAAAATAATATGTATTTTTTAGTATACTCCCGTCTAGAATTAGAAAATTTTAATGAAGCTTATTTTTAAATAATTATTTAATAAATTGTTTATAATAACAATTTTTTGGCAATATTTTGCGTTTTTTAAAATTGAAAAAAACCTCAACATGCAATTGAAACTAAAAAGAAAAAAATTCGTTGTAAATAATTATGAATGACAATTATTTTAAAAATTATAATGAAAATTTATTACGCGGAGACAAGAGATTTCGATATTAACGTTTAATATAATTATCGCTCATAAATTTCTTTAAGGAATTTTAATTGTATGTTGAGATATTTTTTCCAATTTTTTAAAAGTACAGAACATTAAAAAATATAAATTGTTTATAAACAATTTATAAAACAATTATTTAAAAAATAAACTTTTTAGAAAAATCTTCTAATTCTAAATGAAAGAATATTTTATTTCTTACGTATTCTTTTAAATCGGTTCATTTGTTTAGAAGTAAATAAGACTTTGTTGAGAAAAAATGTCCGGCTTTGAGGAATAAAGAAAGACATTTTTTCTATACAGCCCTGATGTTTGTTTTCATTTTGACAACCTTTTCGTTTGAAAACAAAACTACTGCCTGCCTGCCTGCACAGGCAGGCGCAATGAGAGTAAGGGAGAAAAAACATTTAATTTGAATTTTCTGACTCTCTTACTCTTATATGTTACCACGAGTTAGGCGCGCGCACGCATTGTTGGCCCTAACGCCTAACAGTGATTGGTGGTTGAAGGGAATATCCCTCTTTTTCCAGTCTCGACGCATTTCTCTAAAGCATCTTTGTATAGGATTTTCGTCTTTCGATCAGAAGGATTTCGAGACCATATTAGTTTCTTAGTGTAGAGTGTTGGCAGGTTCCCTCTTCTTCTGTCGCTGCTTTCTTCAAGAGATTCATCTATTGGTAAGTAAATCATTTTCGAAAAAACATTAATATGTTTTTAAAAATCTTCCTCAAAATTCTTTCATTGTTTCAGTAATTTAAATTAATTTACTTTATCAAGTTGAAGTCCACAGCGTAGATAAAATAGAAAATTGTCCAATAAAAATAGAATTTAATGTTACCGCAACAATTAGATGCAAAAATATATATTCAAAAAACAAAAATTTTTATTGTTGTATTAATAATAATCATTGTTGTATATTTATTGAGAATTATATTTACACTGTCTATTTAATTTTTTTGTTGGTTAACGTTGTCGACTTCAACTTCGTTTTATTCTTATTCTTAGTACATTAAATTTTTAGATTTTGTTACGTTCAACTATTTTTATTTCTCTCTCTCTTTCTCTATCTTTTCAGTCTCGAACGCATTTCTCTGAAGAATCATTCTAGAAATTTCGTCTGTCGGTCACTAGTCTTTTGAGACCATTTTAGTTTCCCTGTGAAGAACGTTGTCAGGTTCCATTTTCTTCTGTCTTTTCTTCTTCGACGGATTGTTTAATAGGTAAGTAAACCATTTTTAAAATTTCACAATAATATTTTTAAAAATCGAATTCTTATTTCTCAGAATTTTTTATTTATATTTATTTTTCTTTATAGAGTTCAATTCCACAACGCAGGTAAAAGAAAAAAATTGTATTATAATAAACTTATTACTCAATGTTACCACAATAAATTGTCATAAAAATAGTTAAATTTATTATTTTTATTTTGGTTGTAATTATTTTTTTATTTTTGTTTTATTGTGTTTATTATCATTACTGTATATTTATTAAAAACTTTTTTTAGTATCTTTGTATATATTTTGAATTGATTCGTCACAATTAAAAAAAGAAAGGACAGTCTAGTCAGATTTTTTTGTTTGTCAACAGTGTGGACTTTTATTTTTCTTAAATTCAGACTTCGCACTCGATAATTAATTTTTAAATAGTTTCAAAAGTTGCTTTCAACTAAAAAATTTTTAAAAATTCATTTCTCTCGACTAATTTGATATAAATTTTAATTTTAATAATAGAATTCCTAAGACATTTGTATTATTCATGAAAAGAATTGAAATTTAGGAAGATTTTTACCAAAAAAATTTAAATAATTTAATTCTGTTTGAAAATGTTATGAAAAATGGTAGATATTAAAAATCTTTGTATTGCGAAAAGTTTTTGAAGTAATTAAATTTTACAAAGAATAATTAAAATTTTGATAATAATTAAATTCTTGCGAACGATTTTATTAAATTTTTTTTAAAACATTGAATTTCCAAGAAGAAAGGACCCCGCACAAAAAGTACAGAGTTTGGTTCCCGGTCAAATTTGTTTTGGATTTTAGATTTATGTTTGAGTTAAAGTAATTTGGAACAAATATAACCAATAAATATTAACAAATTTGACCGGGAACCAATTTATGTACTTTTTGTGCGTCGTCCTTTATTATTTTTGGGAACAAGTTTGTTATTCATCGACACAATTGAATACTTTAGGAAAAATTTTATTAAAATTGAAAAGAATAATTGAATTTTTTCAAAAAAATTTGCTTGATATTGTATATTGAAAATAACTGATTTCTTTTAAACAATTTTATTAAAATATTTGAAAACAATTGAAATCCTGTGAAAAATTGTAATATTTTTTTATGATTACATAATTGAATTCTTTCAAAGAATTAAAAAAATATTTTTTTAAATAATTGAATTCTTCGGGGAATTAAAATTAAATTTTTAAGAATAATTGCATTATTTTTCGCACATAGTTCCTGTAAAAATGTAGTATTAAAAATAATTGAATACTTGCAAAGAATTTTATTAAAATTTTCAAAACAAATACAATTTTTCTATTAATTAATTTTAAATTGTAAATTTAAAATTAATTAATGTTCTTCGATTAGTTTTATTATTTTTGAAAATAAATTTTTATTTCTTAATACATAATTTTTATGATGAATTTTATTAACAACTTTAAAAAAAACTAATTTCTTTAAAGAAATTTAATTAAAATTTTACTGAAATTTATTATATTAAAAAATCATATAACAATTTTTTAAAATAATTTAAGTCATAAGAAGAATTTTATTTAAAATTTTAAAAATAATTGAATTCCTGAGAAGAATTTCAATAATAATTTATAAAAATAATTGAATTCATGCGAAGAATTTAAATAATAATTTATAAAAAAAATTGAATTCATGCGAAGAATTTTATAGAATTTTGTTTAAATATAATTGACATTTTCCCAAAAGTTTTATTAAAATTATTGACAATAAATTTAATTCTTCAGAAGAATTTCGATATCTATTTATAAAGATAATTTAATTCTTGACGAGAATTTAAAATAATTAAATAATTGATTTTCTCCAATGAATTAATAGTTATTTATACGAAAATAATTGAATTCCTATGGAAATTTTATCATTTAAATAATTGAATTCTTTTGCGAAATTTCAAGTAAATAATAAATATTGAAAATAATTGAATTTCGAGTATTTGTTGGAAATTAATTGAATAGTTTTAAAAAATTTTATTATAATTTTTATGAATAGTTCTTTGATCTCTAATAATAAGCGGATTTAAAGTAATAATGGAAATTCAAAAAAAAGAGAAAAAGAAATAGTAGCTTTTAGTTGCTGAAATCTAAAAAAGTACCCTAATAGTAGCATAACGTAAAAAAGTAGTAAATAGTAGGTTTTAGTAGATGAGTGCGAAGCCGTAAATTAAATTTCTAATTCAAATTATTATTATTTTTTTACGTTTAACTACTTTCATTTCTCTCTTTTTTTAGTCTCGAACGCAATTCGCTGAAGAATCATTCTAGGAATTTCATCTGTCGGTCACTTGTCTTTGGAGACCATTTTAGTTTTCCTGTGAAGAACGTTAGTAGGTTCCCTTTTCTTCAGTCGTTGCCTTCTTAGACGGATTGTTTAATAGGTAAGTAAACCATTTTGAAAAAATTCACAAAAATATTTTTAAAAATCGAATTCTTATTTTCTCAAAAATTTTTATTTATAATTAATTTTCTTCATAAGGGTGAATTCCACAACGTAGGTAAAAGAAAAAATTGTATAATAATAAAATTACCACTCAATGTTACCACAATAAATTGCCATAAAAATAGATATTAAATTTATTATTTTTATTATAGTTTTAAATATTTTTTTTTATTTTATTGTGTTAATTATCATTGTTTTATAATTTGAAATTTTGTAAAATTTCAATTTTGAATGAATTTATTTAGAAATTGTCTTAAAGAACGTAGCTTTTTGAGAAATTTTAATTATTCAAATTCTTCTGAAACTAGTTAAATTTTGTAATATATATTTTTAATTGATTATTAAAAATATTGGATTTACAGAAGAATTTTAATTAAAAACACTAAAAGAAATTGAATTTCGAAGCAATTACAAATGATTGCAGAAATTTGATTATTTTCAAAAGTAGTAAAATTCTTCTTAGAAATTCAATTATTTTCAAATAGTTCAATAAAATTTATGGCAAAATTTCAATTATTTTAAAAAACTTTCCTGAATTCAATGATTTTTAATTAATCAACTACTTTAATAAGATTGTCCAAAAGAATTCAATTATTTGAAGAAATTTTTAATAAAATTCTACGCAAACGTTTAATTATTTTCATAAATAATAACATTTTTTTACAGTAATTCAGTTATTTTCGTAAATAATAAAACTCATCACAGACTTTTAATTATTTTTAATACAATTTTAATATACTTCCTCGAAAAATAAAATTATTCTTTAAAATGTTAAAACTCATCAAAAAAATTCAATTATTTTAAAAACCTTTGCTACAATTTATTTATTATAATTTATGTTCTATTTTCTATAAAGTTTTAATGAAATTTCTTGAAAAAATTAAAATATTTTTAAAAATTGTAATGAAATTCTTTGTAACAATTCAATTTTTTTCAAAATAATTTTAATAAATTTTTTCGTAGAAATTTAAATAATTTCAAAAAATTATCAAAATTCAATTATTTTCAATGTCTAATATTTCAATAAAATTTCATTAAAGAATTTAATTATTTAAAAAGATTATATTATTATATATTATTATATTATTTTTTTTATTTTAAAATTCGTCTCAAGATTTCAATTATTTTCAAAAATTAATATAAATCCTCGCAGAAATTTAATTGAGTTCAATAATTTACAAAAATTCTCGTCAAAATTTTAATAATCTTTATAAATTTTTCTCTGGAATTCAATTATTTTCAAAAACTCTTGAAACATTCTTTGGAGAAATTCAATTATTTTTAATTAAAATTTTAATCAAATTTCCGAAAAAGAACTTATTTTTAAAAATTTTATTAAGATTTGTCAAGAGAAATTAAATATTTAAAAATTTTGTTGAAAAAATTCTTTTTGAGAGTTTAATTTTACGAAATATTCAATTATTCAATAAATTATTGATTTTTGTATTTTAATAATTGAATTCTCGTGGATTTTTTTTTAGTAAATATTGATTTAAAAATTAATTTCCGTTAAAATTTTAAATTATCATTGAATTTTTAAAGCTAATAGCGTAAATATTTAGAAATAATTAGATTTTGAAACGATTTTAAGTTAAAATCTTTGAAAACTTTAACTTTTCGTACTTTTTGGTTAACAATTCTGTAGAATTAATTTTTTTTAAAAAGTTTAATTGAATTTTTTTGAATTCTTCAAATTTTTATTTTCTAATATTTATTTAATTGAAGAATGTCAGATAATCGAAATTACGTAAATTTTAAACAAAAGGATTGGGAAATTCTCAAAGAATGTTTTCAAAAATTATAAAAAAAATTTAGTTCAAGAATAATTTTAGTATAAAATGAAAATAATTTTGAAGAAATTACAGTAACAATATTTTTATAATATTAAATAATGATAGTTTCAAGTTTTAATGATTATAAAACATGAAGAAAGCGATTACTCCAAGTCGAAGACTCGGAGTGATCAATATCTGCATGTTTTATAATAATATATTCTTTATTAGAGGTGTGCATTTAACAGCATGTGATTGTTACAGAATTCAATGTTAATTTTTTCGACCACTTTTCTCTTAAAATATTAAATAAATTCAGCTAGTTTTTTGTGAATAACTCTAAAATATCATAAAGAAGGGCAGTGATGTGAAAAAGTTTTAATATCTTTAAAATTATTTATTAAAAAATAACTTTAAAATTATCAGTTCTCAAAATCACTTTTAATCAATTTCTCGTCTTTTCCGATTTCAAAGTATTTTTTTATAATTTATTTTAGAATTATTAAAACTTTTACACATCACTGCTCTTCTTTATTATATTTTAGAGTTATTCACAAAAAACTAGCTTAATTTATTTAATATTTTAAGAGAAAAGTGGTCGAAAAAATTAACATTCATATCTGTAACAGTCACATGCTGTTAATCGGGGCGAACCGAACATTAATCGACTCGACAGCAGAAAATTCGAATCGGAGTTAATTCGATTCGAAACAGTCAATTCTAAATTTGAAGTTTCGAATTACTCGACTCGGTTAACTTTCGATTCGAATAGGCTAATTCGTAATTCGAAGTTTTGACTTTCGAATTGCTCGACTCGACTCGATTTTCGAATCAAGTCGGCCAATTCGAAACATAACATACTGCATACACATCATAGCACATTGCATAGTAATTCGAAAGTCTAATTTCGATTTTCGAATTGGCCGACTTTATTCAAAAATCGAGTCGAGCAATTCGCAATTCGAAACTTCGAATTGGCCGATTCGAATAGAAAGTAGACTGAGTCGAGTTGTGCAATTCGAAATTCGAACCTTAGAATTTCAAATTTGCAAGTTCGAATCGAATTTTCTTTCGATTCGAATTTTTCACACCTCTATCTTATATGTTATTAAATTTAAAATTTTTGAAAATCTTAATTTTTTTTTAAAAAAATAGTAATGATTAAATGTTCATTTAAAAATAAAGTTATTGATATTTTCGAGTAATTTTACAATTAAAGAAATTCGTAAATAAATATAATAGAATAGGGAAAAAGTCGTTTTGTCTGGGAATCAAGGAGTTTGGTAAAATATAAATGTAGTTTTAAAAACCTGGAAAAATTCGGTTTTTAACCTGGAAAACCTGGAAAAGTCAGGGAATTTGAAATGAGGAAAAGCGTGGCAACCCTGTAGTATTTTTGTATATGTGACCGGGTCTAGGAAAAGGGACCTAACGTGTCAATTAAATTATTTTTCACTTTTTTATTGATTTGGATAGTTTGAAACGCTCTGTGAAAACCAAAAAGTCATAAGATGATTATAAGTTATTTAAAATTTTTTTTAAAGTCAAAAGAAACAAGAGTAAAAATACGAAAAAACTGATTTCTTTGTTATTATAAAAATTAAAATAACGAAGACGATAATTTTTTATTATTTAGAAAAGTTGACAGTTTCTTTGACAACTGTCAATAGTTAAAATTCAAATTTGATATCATATTCATAATCAGCGACCTCAAAAACCTTACTACTTTCTTTTTTATAAAAAACGATCATTTTTAAGAGAAGTTGACAGCTGTCAGCTGTGAAATTGTCAATTTAACATCACATTCGTAATCAGCGGCCTTGAAAACCCTTACAAACGTGTGTCACTTATTTATATTTATGTTGCAATTTAGAAAACTTAGATTTTTTTCTGTATTTGGGGAGTTTGTTATTAATTTATATAAAAAATTATTTTAAAAAAATTTTCATTACTTGTATGTTTTTTATTTTCATACTGTGATCCACGGTGAAGAAAATAAGCCTAACTTGATTAAAAAATATAAATTTCTAAAAAAGTTACAAGTGTTTTTCTAAGTAAAACGTTAACTGCTGTTTTCTCAAAAACTTGTATTCGCACGTAAGGTCCCTTTTCATTGACCATATCACATATATATTTTAAATTTATGTGTCTCAATTTGAAAAAAATACAATTCACTCAAATTTTTTTGTTTTTAACATTATAAACTTTTTTTAAATTAAATTTTTAGTTTAAATTATTATTGTATTTTTACGTGTAACTACTTTCATTTCTCTCTTCTTTTCTAGTCTTGAACGCATTTCGCTGAAGTATCATTCTAGGAGTATAGTCTGTTGGTCACTATAGTCTTTGGAGATTATTTTAGGTTCTCTCTTCTCCTGTCGTTGCCTTCTTCGAAGGATTGTTTGAGTGGTAAGTTAAAATTAATTTACTTTATAATGTTGAAATCCATTACTAGATAAAAGAATTGAATTGTCCAATAAGATTATTGAATACTCAATGTTATCGTAATAATTTCACACAAAAATAGATATTAAATTTGTAATTTTTATAATAGTTTTTATTATTATTTTATTGTTGTGTTAATACTCATTTTTCTATATTTATTAAAAACTATGGGATAAAGTTCCGAAAGAGGTCCCCCCCCGATTTCAATAAAACTTGGTATACTTACGTATTTTGGTGCCCTGATTACGAAAATTATAGTAAAAATTGGCGACTAGGTCATCTTCATGGTAAAAACCATGAAAAACACCATAAAAATGCGGTTTTTGCATTTAACTTCTAAAAAACGAAGAATTTAAAAAAATGTTATGTACAAAAGTTGTAGGTCTTAACAAAATAAATATTTTATGTTCTATACATTTTTGCCCAAAAGTTAATAGTTTTTAAGAAAAATGTAAAAAACCATAAAATACCATAAAATTGTCAAAATATAAATTCTAATAAAAACAAGTAAGTATTAAAGAAAATCAGTAACATTTGTGTAATTCAGGTAGATGATTATAAAAATCATATTAAAAATTAGAATTTTATGGTAAAAACCATAAAAAAAACACCATAAAAATGCGATTTTTGCATGTAGCTTTTAAAAAACGCAGAATTAAAAGCCCTTAAAAGGGCTGATTGATTTGTGAAAGTTTTGCAATCTTTCATTTTTAATGTAGCCCTAAAAAGGGTTGATTGTCAATTAGTCTGTGGAACCAGGATAAACGCTTTTAATATCCTTTAGTATCTGCGAGAAGGGATCAATTTGCAGTTTTTTATTTCTTCGGCGACAAAGAAATTCACATAGATGGTCTGCAAGGCCATCTTTGTGAACTCCTCCTCGTGATAGAAACCGACGCATCCACCTCCAAGAGGACTCGATATTCTGCGTGTGGGCTCCTGTATCGTGGTTCACGAACTCTTCGGAATGATTTACGGTTCCATGCACATAGCCATGCTCTTCTAAATTGTTGTACCCTTTCCACAAATCTGTATGGATTTCTGTCCCAACAACAACGTGTTTCTTTATAAGTTCGATTAACGTGTTTTGATCACGTTTGTTGTCAGGACAGATCTCCAAACGATATTTATGTGCATGGCCCCGATGAATCATTCCTAAGATCCACGAACCTTCAACCACACGTCCTCTTTCATACTTGCGGCGACCAATCTTGCATTCGTCGATTTCTACCACCTCACCTACTCCACCAATTTTACCTTCTTCTTCGAAATTATGGTCAAGTACGAGCATACAGACCTCCCGACAATATGAAAATCTGTCAGCAACTGTTTCGCGAGACAGTTGCTGATTCTCAACTACACTGCATTCACGTATAGTTTGTTCAAAATTAAAATTGACGGCAAAGCTATACGTGAGCATTATGCAAGTTGCAGCAGAAACATGGCTGCTTTGAAACCATGTATTTATTGCAACACTTTTTTTATGATCGTACTTGCCCTTCTTTTTGCAAATAAAGTTGCCACAGACTAATTAGTTTTCATTTAAGCTCATTTTCTTTTTGTGCTTTAAGCAGTACTTTTCTTTAGGTATGAGTTCAATATCACGAAGCCATTCAAGAGTCTTTTCTCGACTTTGTAATATTGAACACAACCTAAAAATGTTATACGACTGATCCATTTTTTTAAAAGCTACACCTTTACAAATCGTATAACAGCGAAAACAATACTAGGCAATAGTAGAAGTCACAGAGATAATGTCTATATTGCAGTCAGACTTGATATGAGCAGGAGTACCTCCAGTAATGAAATGGTAAGAACAGGAGTGGAATGTGTAAAGTTGTTTCGTTACGGGGGAAGAAAAAGGTTTTTTTTACTGTTGTAGGGGCATTGGATCTGTGATCAAGTACCTTTTAGTACCAGCTAGAAAGTAAATTTGAATATTTTTTTAAATAATATACATAGAATACAACAAAAGCAAATTCGGCGGGCTCCGCCCGCCGAAGCGTTGTTTCGTTGAGTGGGCAAAAAAAAAGTTTTTATTCTACTGTTGTAAGGGGCATTGGTTCTGTATTCAGTACCTTCTAGTACCAAATGTGAAGTAAATTTGACTCTCTTTCTAAATTAATTCAATGTAGGGGCATTGGATCTGTGATCAAGTACCTTTTAGTACCAACTAGAAATTAAATTTGAATAGCTTTTTAAATAATATACATAGAATACAACAAAAGCAAATTCGGCGGGCTTCGCCCGCCGAAGCGTTGTTTCGTTGAGTGGGCAAAAAAAAAGTTTTTATTCTACTGTTGTAAGGGGCATTGGTTCTGTATTCAGTACCTTCTAGTACCAAATGTGAAGTAAATTTGACTCTCTTTCTAAATTAATTCAATGTAGGGGCATTGGATCTGTGATCAAGTACCTTTTAGTACCAACTAGAAAGTAAATTTGAATAGCTTTTTAAATAATATACATAGAATACAACAGCAGCAGATGCGGCGGGCTTCGCCCGCCGAAGCGTTCTTTCGTTGAGTGGGCAAAAAAAAGTCTTTATTCTACTGTTGTAAGGGGCATTGGTTCTGTATTCAGTACCTTCTAGTACCAAATGTGAAGTAAATTTGACTCTCTTTCTAAATTAATTAATTAATGAATTTAGAAAGAGAATTTTATTATAAATTTTATTGTTTTTTACGTTTTTCTCAAAAACTATTCACTGTTGGGCAAAATTGTGTATTACATAAAATATTTATTTTGTTAAGACCTACAACTTTTGTAAAAAATATTTTTTCATATTCTGAGTTTTTTAAAAGCTACATGCAAAAATCGCATTTTTATGGTGTTTTTTTTATGGTTTTTACCATAAAATTCTAATTTTTAATATGATTTTTATAATCATCTACCTGAATTACACAAATGTTACTGATTTTCTTTAATACTTACTTGTTTTTATTAGAATTTATATTTTGACAATTTTATGGTATTTTATGGTTTTTTACATTTTTCTTAAAAACTATTAACTTTTGGGCAAAAATGTATAGAACATAAAATATTTATTTTGTTAAGACCTACAACTTTTGTATATAACATTTTTTTAAATTCTTCGTTTTTTAGAAGTTAAATGCAAAAACCGCATTTTTATGGCGTTTTTTATGGTTTTTACCATGAAGATGACCTAGTCGCCAATTTTTACTATAATTTTCGTAATCAGGGCACCAAAATACGTAAGTATACCAAGTTTCATTAAAATCGGGGGGGGGACCTCTTTCGGAACTGCACCCAAACTATGTTACAATTGTTTTTTAATATTCTTTGAATGTATTTCATATTTATTTGTTTCAATTAAAAAAAAAATTATACAGTCTCCTGAAATTTTTTTTGGTCAAAATTGTTGACTTTTATTTGTATTAAATTAAATTTTTATTTTAAATTATTGTTAATTTATTACGTTTAATTATTTCCATTTCTCAATTATAAATTTAAAAAATACAAAATACTAGATTTTAACTATTACATAAAATTCTAGAAATTTTATCAATTTCAATTATTTCAAAATTGTTCAATTAAATATAAAAGTTTTATTATCTTTTACAAATTTAACAAAAAATATTATTTTAAATAATTTTTTATAACAATTGTTTAAAAATAAATTATTTTCATTATATTTGGTTATACATATTTTTTAATCATTTATTTTAATAGTAATAAATGGAATGTTAGAAATTTAATTTTTTACAAATTTCAATTAACTTTGAAAAATAAAGAAATACTTGATTATTCGTAATTTTAATAAATTTTATTCTTAATTATTATTATATTTCATTTTAGAAATGGTCAGAAGTGCAGGAGGTAGGAATTCAAAGGGAGTAAGTACAATAAAAATATTCTTTTCATAACGCGGTGCAAAAAAGGGCACTTTTTTGCACCTTGTTATGAAAAATATCGTTCGTAACTTGTGTGAACAGTTGCTAATTTTTGAATGAGCGCTGTTTTTGGAACGAACTGTAGGCTGTTCGCCTACAGTTCGTTCCAAAAAAAGCGCTCATTCAAAAATTAGCAACTGCTCTCACTCGTTACGAAATATACTATTTTACGTTTCTGACAATTAGTGTATGTAATTGTAATTTTTTATTTTAGAGTCTTGGCCCAAATCCGACTGATCAAGAACAACAACAACGAGAACAACAACAACGAGAACAACAACAGCGAGAACAACTACAACAACAACAACTACAAAATGCGCAGCATCAATTTCCGCCACAATTGCCGCAGTGGCAGCCACAATTGCAGCAGATGCAGCAACAAATACTGCAGCAGAGGCAGCAAATTGAGCAGCAACAATACATGCAAAATCAGCAGTTGCAGGAACAACTGAAACTGCTGAGGCAGCAAACTGAGCAACAGCAACTGCAGATTGAGGAGCAGAGGAAACGGCTGCAGAAGGAAAATGTGCCGCAGGATACGCTGTCACCGCCAATTAATGAGGAGGAGGAGGAGGTAAAAGAGGAAAAACCGAGGCCGCCATTGACCATCAATCGGCAATCATATAATAAAAATGAGAACAACGTAAGTGCTTTAAAAAAAAAATTCTTAAAAATAAAAAAAAATTGTCAATTGAAAATTTAAAAATGAAATAGCTAAAAAGCAGCATAAAAATTATATATAAATATTTTTCGAAAAAGTAATTATTAGAACAGGGTTGCCACTGGTCAGAGAAGTCAAGGATATTTATGAAAATACTTGAAAAAATTAATTTTTTAGAATTCATAAGAAAATTTTAAATTTCCGTGTCTCTTTCGTGTGCCTCATAAACTTTTAAATTATTTATTTATTTAAAATACATTTAACATGAATTCTAATACAAAACCATAAAATTTTTCTATTTCTAACGATAATTTCTTTTTAAACAATTTGATGCCTTAAAAACCATTATACAATTATTACTTATAAATTATTTAACAAACAATTCTACTTAGATATATTTAGATTACGTAGATACGTAGATTTTATAAAAATTTTGATAATTCAAATTGTTTTAAAGTAAGTTAAAGTGTTTAACATACATTTAATTAATTATAAAAAATGTATTTATAGAAGAATTTTAATTAAAAACACTAAAAAATGAAATTTTTGCAAAAGTTTAAAATGATTGCAAAAATTCAATTATTTTCAAAAGTAATAAAATTCATCGTAGAAATTCAATTACGTTAAAATTCTTTCAAATAATCATTAATATTTTATTGATTCTTATAAAAAATAATATCTTCTTGATAAATTTGTTGTCTTGATGAAACTTGTTTGTTTCAAAAATTTTAATAATATTCTCGTCAAAATTTAAATTTTTTTGTAAATATTTATCACAATTCAATGATTTTAAATATCTACAATTTTAAAAAAAATTTCAAAAAGAAGTAGATTATTTAAAAAAAATTTGATAAAGTTCTACTCAAACATTCAATTATTTTCATAAATAATAACATTTTCACATAAAATCAACTATTTATTTCTTTTTTTCGCTATAATTCATTCATTTTCTTAAATAATATAATTTTTTTGGAATTATGTGTAAGAATTTAATTATGTTCAAAAATTTTATTAAATTCTTATCAAAATTTCATTGATCTTTGTAAAAGATGATATTTTCTCTACAAATAACAAAATTCTCCTCTAAATTTCAATTATTTTCAAAAATTTTAATAAAAGTTTTAGATAAATTTGAATTTATTTCATAAATTTTTCTCAATTTAATAATTTTTAATATTTACTATTTTAGCATTTTAAAAGAATTCCATTATTTAAAAACAATTTGATAAAATTTTACCAAAAAATTTAATTATTTTCATAAAAAATAAAAATTTTGCAGGAGATTCAATTATTTACTACTTTTATATACATTTCTGCGCAATAATTAAATTATTTTCATAAATAATAAAAATCTTTTTAGGAATTTAATTATTTTCGTAAATAAAACAACTCATTGCACCACTTCAATTATTTCAAAAAAACATTTTAATCGAATTTCTCATGAAATATAATTATTATTCAATTATTTAAAAATTTGTTTGTAAAAAACTTTATGAAAATTTGATTTTAAAAAACATTCAATTATTCAATAAACTTTTAATTTTGTATTTAAATAATTGAATTTTCCTACAATTTTCTAACAAATATTCAGTTAAAAAAAAAATAAATTTAATAAATCACCCCAAATACGATATTTATTCATAAATTTATTTCTTTCAAAAAAAATTATTAAAAATAATTAATCATGAGCGTAATAAGTGAATTGTTTTAATTTTTAAACTAAAATTATTTAAAAATTAATCTTTGTTCAAGCTGAAAATTTAAAAATATTGAAAATAATTGATTTTAAAGAAAGTGTAATAAAAATTTCTAAAAATTAATTTTTTAAAAATATAAATCAAGTTTTAATAGCGAATAGAATTTTTAATTGTGTATAATTAAACAATTTTTACATAAATAGAATTTAGTACATTTCTTTCGATGTAATACAATTTTTTTATAAAATTTTTAAAAATTATTAAATAATCAAGGTTTTGAAAAATTTTAATTACAAAGATGAAAATACATAATTTCTTCTAATTTATAATGGAGTGTTCCTATATAAAAAATCAGATATATAATCTAGAAAACTATTAAAATACATTTTTAGTACTTATGTTTTGTAGATATTTTAATGCTGAAAATATTTATTTTAAATATTGAAAATAATTGGTTTTTAACAAGTGATGAAAAAATTCTACAGAGTGCCACAAAAATTTATTTTTGTTTTTTCCTGACTTTTCTCTGATTGACAGACAAAATTTTGACTTTTTCCCTAACTAACCTTGGTGTGGAGTTGGATGGAAGGTTAAACTTCCACCACCACATGGCTACGGCGTCGAATAAGGCGATCGAGTGTGCGGCTAATCTTTCACGGTTAATGCCAAATGTTGGCGGACCCCGTGAACAAAAAAGAAGACTGGTGGCGAGTGTCGCCCACGCTAAAATGCTCTATGCAGCACCAGCGTGGGCCCCATCCCTGAGGAGTAAAAGATGTGTTACCATCTGTGAAAAGATACTGTCGGCGCAGAGATCGATAACAACGCGTATCATCTCTGCATATAAGACGGTATCTACGAGTGCTGTGCAGGTCCTTGCAAGTGTCCCGCCAGCAGATCTCTTGGCGAGGGAAAGGGAAGAAATGTTTCTCTTTTCTAAAGAAAGCAGTTCCTGGGATGAGGAATTAAGACCAAGCAAGGGCCTGATCCGCAAAGAAGCGAGGCACAGGCTCATAGAAAGATGGCAGGAAAGATGGGATGGTGAGGGAAAAGGTCGATGGACCTATCGCCTTATCCCGGCACTCGCCACCTGGATAAATAGGAAACACGGTCAGGTTTCCTATTATTTGACTCAGGCGCTCACAGGTCACGGGTGTTTTAACTCGTACCTGTGTCGCTTTAAATTACGCGAGAACGAGGTGTGTGCATATTGCCAGTTCCCTGAGGACAACGCGGAGCACACCCTCTTCTCATGCAAAAAATGAGACTTGGAGAGGCGGGCCATGTTCGAAGGTGTAAACAGTCAAGTTACACCGGAGAATATGGTATCGCTGATGACCCAGTCGGAAGAGAATTGGCGGCAAGTCGAGAACTTCATAATCTCGGTTATGTCGAGGAAGGATCTCGACGGCCGCCAAAAAGCGTAATTTAAACAGCTTTTAATTTGTTTGTTTTTTATTAATTTATTTTGTGATTTATTTGTCCCTATACATTTTTTTTAATTTGTTTTGTTTTTTTTATTCATCTTTGTACAATTTTATGTTTTCAATATTTTATACGCGTTTATTTTTATTTTTTTTTATATATCCGTTTATAATTTTATCTTTTGACTTTTTAAACTTCTTAAAATTTTTGTTTTTTATTGTTGTTGTGCTGTTAATTCCGCTTTTATATTGAAATAGTTTTAAATTTTTTAACTATTGACGCAGGAGAACCGCAGACACAGAACAAAGTCGCAGCAGCGATAGAGTTGGAGCGCCTCCCTCGAAGGCTAAAGTCTTACGACAGTTCCGACGGAGAGTAAAGGGCTCCAAAAGAAGGGTTACGGGTTTTAGTGGGTCGGGCTGGTAGTAGGTCGCCAGTTTATTAAATTTATTATAACATTTATTTATTTATCCTTTTTTTTAAATTCCCTTTTTTTTATTTTACCAACCCCACATAACCTTGGAGTGCGGAATCCAAGGTATCTGTAAACAGATTTCCCAAAATTCCCTAAGCAAAAAAAAAAAAAAAAAAAATAATAATAATAATAATAATAATAATAATAATAATAATAATTCCTCCTGCAGAACCATACCTTAGAAGGGACTGGAGTTTTTGCAAAGTCGAAGAGGAAGAACTCTTTACACTTAGTGAACTGAAAAAAGCAGGCAAAAGATTAAAAACAGGCAAGGCGCCTGGAATCGATGGGATAAGTAACGAGATCCTAAAGTTGGTAATCGACACTTCACCCCAGATTCTGCTTCGATGCTTCAATCTTTGCCTTGAGAGAGGAGAGTTCTTCCGCGACTGGAAGCGACAGAGGTTAGTCCTCCTAAGGAAAGGTGAAAAACCTCTAGATAAGGTTTCATCGTACAGGCCTATATGCCTGCTAGATACGATGGGTAAACTTCTAGAGGATATGGTTCTCCAGAGAATGCAGGGCCACTTGACCGAAGAGAATCGTCTATCCGATTACCAATTTGGTTTCCGTAAAGGCAAGTCCACAGTTGATGCCATCCAGGCAGTTGTGGACATAGCCAAAGCAGGAAAAAACAAATTGGGACCTGGGAAAAAGAAGAGCTTCTGCGCGTTGGTAGCAATTGACATACGCAACGCGTTTAATTCCGCAAGATGGAAAGATCTCATCGAGTCGATGGAAAAGAAAAACATGCCGCCCTACTTGTTGCGGATAATGGATAATTATCTTAGCGACAGGTGGGTTATATATGAGGGAGACACCTGCACTCTCAGGGAAGAGATGCAGCGTGGGGCTCCTCAAGGCTCGAGGGTGGGTCCATTTGTATGGAATGTATCTTACGATGATTTTCTGCGAATGGATCTGCCCGAAGGTGCGATGATCATCGGCTTTGCGGACGACGCGTTGTTCGTGTGCACTGCCGAGAGTGAGGAGGCTCTTGGGACATTGGTAAACGAATGTCTGCGACTAGCAAAAAGCTGGCTGGATACCAGAGGTCTTGAAATGGCCCTGGAAAAGACCGAGGCACTGCTAGTCACAGACAGACGTGGTTATGAGCTCCCACGAATCGTGATAGACGGATTCGAGGTCAAGTGGAGTAAACAAATTAAATACCTTGGTGTGGAGTTGGATGGAAGGTTAAACTTCCACCACCACATGGCTACGGCGTCGAATAAGGCGATCGAGCGTGCGGCTAATCTTTCACGGTTAATGCCAAATGTTGGCGGACCCCGTGAACAAAAAAGAAGACTGGTGGCGAGTGTCGCCCACGCTAAAATGCTCTATGCAGCACCAGTGTGGGCCCCATCCCTGAGGAGTAAAAGATGTGTTACCATCTGTGAAAAGATACTGTCGGCGCAGAGATCGATAACAACGCGTATCATCTCTGCATATAAGACGGTATCTACGAGTGCTGTGCAGGTCCTTGCAAGTGTCCCGCCAGCAGATCTCTTGGCGAGGGAAAGGGAAGAAATGTTTCTCTTTTCTAAAGAAAGCAGTTCCTGGGATGAGGAATTAAGACCAAGCAAGGGCCTGATCCGCAAAGAAGCGAGGCACAGGCTCATAGAAAGATGGCAGGAAAGATGGGATGGTGAGGGAAAAGGTCGATGGACCTATCGCCTTATCCCGGCACTCGCCACCTGGATAAATAGGAAACACGGTCAGGTTTCCTATTATTTGACTCAGGCGCTCACAGGTCACGGGTGTTTTAACTCGTACCTGTGTCGCTTTAAATTACGCGAGAACGAGGTGTGTGCATATTGCCAGTTCCCTGAGGACAACGCGGAGCACACCCTCTTCTCATGCAAGAAATGGGACTTGGAGAGGCGGGCCATGTTCGAAGGTGTAAACAGTCAAGTTACACCGGAGAATATGGTATCGCTGATGACCCAGTCGGAAGAGAATTGGCGGCAAGTCGAGAACTTCATAATCTCGGTTATGTCGAGGAAGGATCTCGACGGCCGCCAAAAAGCGTAATTTAAACAGCTTTTAATTTGTTTGTTTGTTTTTTATTAATTTATTTTGTGATTTATTTGTCCCTATACATTTTTTTTAATTTGTTTTGTTTTTTTATTCATCTTTGTACAATTTTATGTTTTCAATATTTTATACGCGTTTATTTTTATTTTTTTTTATATATCCGTTTATAATTTTATCTTTTGACTTTTTAAACTTCTTAAAATTTTTGTTTTTTATTGTTGTTGTGCTGTTAATTCCGCTTTTATATTGAAATAGTTTTAAATTTTTTAACTATTGACGCAGGAGAACCGCAGACACAGAACAAAGTCGCAGCAGCGATAGAGTTGGAGCGCCTCCCTCGAAGGCTAAAGTCTTACGACAGTTCCGAGGGAGGGTAAAGGGCTCCAAAAGAAAGGTTACGGGTTTTAGTGGGTCGGGCTGGTAGTAGGTCGCCAGTTTATTAAATTTATTATAACATTTATTTATTTATCCTTTTTTTTAAATTCCCTTTTTTTTATTTTACCAACCCCACATAACCTTGGAGTGCGGAATCCAAGGTATCTGTAAACAGATTTCCCAAAATTCCCTAAGCAAAAAAAAAAAAAAAAAAAAATAATAATAATAATAATAATAATAATAATAATAATAATAATAATAATAATAATAATAATCCCCGCCGATGGTTGTCCACTACCGAACATCATCGATGTCTTTGATGTGCTGGGAGAAGTGGATGCTTATCCACTGCCAGACATGATTGACATCATGGATATGTTCGGTAGACCTTGCCGTGGTGGCGGGGCTTTTCACTAAAGGGCAACCAACAGGGTGGTTCCCTGATTCTAAAACCAAAAAAATGAATGAAATGGATAAAGATTCAAATAAATTACTCCAAGCGGGTACCTCAAATGAGGGTAATCCCGTCACCGATTCTGATCGGGTTCAAGCCCCGGTAGTCGGTGCAGACGGCTCCAAGGATTTTGGAGGGAGCCAAATAAAAAATTCTGAGGATGTGGGACTTAGCAGATTCGAAGAAAATGTTTTAGAACAGGTCGATCTGATCCCAATGTTACACATTAAAATATTTAATATATGGCAACAACGCCCAATGTTTTCTTCGGAGTATTCTTTCTAGCCTAAGACTTGCCACCAAGTAGCAAGCTTCGAGGCTGAAATATGACACTCCGATAAGCCGGACTTGTCAGCAAAAGTGCTTACACTCTTAAGCGCGCACTAGCACTAAACAAAAATGAAATTAATAAAATTCTCAATTTTGTCTCAAAAATTTAATTATTTTGCAGAATTTGAATTGATGAAATAAAACATCAAAATTATGGAATGTTGCGACAATGTTGCGAAGCCAAAATGGCGATAACCAACATTGTAACAACATCGAAATTATGGAATGTTGCGACAATGTTGCGAAGCCAAAATGGCGATAACCAACATTGTAACAACATCGGAATTGATGAAATACAACATCAAAATTATGGAATGTTGCGACAATGTTGCGAAGCCAAAATGGCGATAACCAACATTGTAACAACATCGAAATTATGGAATGTTGCGACAATGTTGCGAAGCCAAAATGGCGATAACCAACATTGTAACAACATCGGAATTGATGAAATACAACATCGAAATTATGGAATATGCATCTAAAAAAAAAAAGGGGAAAGAGGAAGTAAAACCAAAATAATATCTGTCACAAACACGCGCACATGTGGTTGAATGATTATAATAACGCACACATGCACGGATTTCTCGGCATATAGTATACACCGATGCTCTCACGGACTCCGTTCGTTATAGGATTCACAACGACATACGAACTTGCAGCCGCGCACACCAACACATGCTCCATGCTCGCCTCTACTCGCTGTTTTCCTCTGATAAAAACCCTCCCCTTTTCCCTCAGGCCCACAAGCTACGCTGCAATATAATAACAAACGCACGTGCGTTTTGACAGCTTGATCCTACAACAGGGGTGCTCAACCACTACAATTGGTTGATTTTACGCATCACTAATCAATCAACTTGTGATCGGAAATTACATACAACTAAACAACTCCACCAATTTCATTAGCAATTCACACAGTGGTATGGTTGTTAATTAATTTAAACAGCCATCACAATTGGGAATTGTTGTAATTAATAAAATGATGAAATTAATTTTCATTAATTATAAGGAGTTATTTTCAAAAAAAATATCAAATGACAGTCGTTTCCGTTCACACGAGTCTGTCTATGCATGCTAGAGTCAGCGAAAAATTGCAGCGTCCAATGGGCCGCGAATTCCTTCCTACTCCTAAAAAATTAAAATTTCCTCGTTTGCAAAATTGTCCCACTCTGGAGGTAAAACAAGGACTAGAGGCTAGTCAAAATCTTTTAATTAACGCAGTACTACTTCTTGCTTCTCTCGAGCAACACCTTTCCTGGCTTCAGCTTGGCAAGTGTTGCGAGAAACAAGAACGCCGCGACTTAGCCCGTCTGCGAGTCGGACCCCCGTGTAAAACTTTTTAAGTATAACGCGAAAGGCGGACGAAAAATTAAATTAAATTCTTCTAACCGACGGAGTCCATCGAGAATTGTGTCGGATGAAAATCGGCTGTCATTATTAAATTAATTATAGCAGATTTTTGTTTATGTGAAAACCGGCCAGCCCGTGCGTGTGGCGCCTGCGCCGTTCCGATACAACGGCTTTGATATAAAAAAAAAAATTGTTGTTTTAAAATAATTTTTTTTTTAGTTTTTTTTGAATACTAAAGAAAACGCTAAAGTTCAAATTTATTTACTTGAACAAAAGACTAAAGAAAAAAAAATCGTGTTGTGTGCCAACACCAACAGAAGTTTGTTTCGCCCGACGGCAGCTGATTGTGACACCACTGTCGCCGGTAGAGTAAGTAGATGTATCGTTCTAAATTTTCTTTCACCACACAAATAAACCTCTTTAATTTCCTTAATTAATTTTCTCTTTATTTACCTTTACTCCTCAAACAAACACATCTTTAGAAGCAGTGGTAACTTTTAAAAGTGGAAAACGGATCCACAATTTAAACGATTTCCCCACGGAATTCGGCAGCTTGGTGCCTCCCCAAAATAGAATTTTAGAGCTATCTCAAAAGCTCGATATTTAATTTAATAAATAAATTCTGGTTTGTAACAAGCTGATGGTGGCAGCGGTGGGATCTATCCACGCGTTACCGCCCTGCTTCGTTACCTGGTAACCTTGTTACCAGTGGCGCCAATTTATTTTCTTTTCACCAATTTATTTTATTATCACAAAACTTTTGCGAGCACTGGTTAGTCGCTGGTGTTCCTACCCCTCACGGGTAACTATAGTTTAATTTTCCATGATGATTTTTGACTATTTCTTTTCTGTTCTACTGTTTTCGATTCTAGTAGCCAAATTTTCGAGTGTTCTGGTTTTTGAGGTTCTGTCTGTCCTTTCTACTTTGGTCGCTGTCGTTGGTTGCCTCTTTTAATAAATACAAAATTTTGCTATTGGAGGAATAGTAAAAAAAAAATACGTTAATTAATTTACGTTTTATTGGTTTTGAATAGTCCGTGATGACAAGTCTCCGTGATTCGCTCACTGGATGACATGTCTCCGAAACTTCACTACTGATGATTAGTACTAATTCCGACTAATAGCATATAAACCTTGAACGTGGCGTGAACTCCCGTCAGTTAACAAAACTGTGCAGAATATTCTATTAATATAATTAATTGAATTTAATTTTCTGTGATTAGTCCGTGAAGACAAGTCTCCGTGATTCGCTCACTGGATGACATGGCTCCGAAATTTCACAGTTAATTCTTTTGCATAGCCTTGTTTAAAGGACGGAAAATTCTAATTGTTACTTCAGGGAAATTGCCTTAAGTTAATTTCAACAATGAACGACAATGCCTGGTAATTTCCGACAAAGAGGAAAAAGAAATCGAAGAAAGGACAGACCCAAAAGGGTTCGAATTCCAGAACGGGAAGAGAAAATTAAGGCGGAGATTAGTACTCCACAGGAAATTTTTAAGAAGCCTTCTGCACCCATTAAAAAGGAGCAAAAGGAACCCTTAAATGATTGGAAAGAATTTTCCAATTATTTTGAACACCTTTTAAATAAAGCTGAGGCCGAAATTAATAAGAACAATAAACGTCGTGAAATCGAAAGGCGTGTAAGGGTGGCTTTGGAAGAACGGGAATTAAAAGATTGATTAGTTTTTTTTTTCTCAATGACTATTCCCGAAAATTCCTATCGCTTTGGTAGTACCTTTGCCATTTCGGAAATTCTACAAGGCGAAATAGTTACCGTCTCTATAGATTTTTGTTATAAACATAACTACGTTTGTGAAAGTGTTCTAAAATTACACTCCCCTATCCTAGGTCATCCAAGTGCAGATTATATCAATAACACCTATGTGGATATTCTTGGATTCGTATATCTCCAAGTCGCAAACCAAACGGTGTGTTTCCAGGTAGTAGATTCTTTTTATTCCCACACCTGGCCAGTGGCCCCCGCAATACTTGGGCGAGTAAGTTGCATCGATTTGGCTATCCTCTAATTGACCGTATAAAATCCTGCCATTTAATATTTCCAAAGGAAAAGAAAATATATGATAGTGTTTAAATGCGTATTTGTTGGGATTAGTAGAAATTAGTCCCAACGACTAGCAAAACAGAATCGCTGGTTGTGGGTACAAGGCCGCATGATTGGAGAACTTCCGGTCGAATCCTAGAGAATTCTATCGGAATTCGGAAAGAAGGAAATTTATTTTCTTCTTTCCCTTATACTAGGAAGCGCCGTTGTGATAACTAATCGTCCCGCCTAGGAGAGCTCCCGTGCTGAATCTGTAATTTGACACCGTCAGGATTTCTTTTGTTTTGGGGTTAAAATGTCACTTTAAAGTATCACTTAAAATGTCACTTTGAAATGTCCTCTAACCCAGGAAAATCAAAAAGGGGAAAACGCGCCGGAAAACGACACATATCAATCGAACTAAGAACAAATAGGGCACCAGAATCGGAAATTTATTACCGCCTCACCAAGCCCGTGATAAAGTTAAGACCTACTTGTAAGGTTGCACCCACGGTCAGACAGCCAGAACCTGCCCAGCCAATTCTAGTACAACCACGAATCCCCATTATTGAAATTGACTTGGACGTCGAAGTAGCACTAGCACAACGACACATAGCATACGCCCAAGAAAATCATATTAGAGTAGTCCCCGCACTACGACAAAATACAACGCAACCTGACGACGACTCAGATACCACCTTAGAATACGATAGCGATGTCATGATTATTGATTAACCCTATCGAATGTGCTATCAACGGCAAATACCGGACATTGTTCCCCCCCCGATTTATCTACTCCCAAGGCAACCAGAATTTATTCCCCCACCAGAATTTATTCCCCCACCCCCCGGAGTGATTCCCATTACCGATGAGATGAGGGAAAACATTCGAAACAGAATCCGGGAACGAAGACGAAATCACCCCTATGCAAACTAACGATTGGACTAAGCCGAGTAAATGTCTGATTTTTACTACTTTGTAGAATATAGTCCTAAATTCCCCATATCAAATCCCGAATTATCAAATCAATCGGAATTGAAATCCATCCCTCTCGCGTTCATAACATCCGCTCATATTGTTTCCATAACCCCAAGAAATAAGCTCAAAATCCAAGGAATAGAAACTGTCAAGATCAACCTTCCTCCAAAATAATTCATGTTCCCTCGCAGAAGCACCATAGTCACTGGATTTTCCCAGGACCAGTGGTCGGAATTAGCAGAAGGAATAGATTTAATTGGGGAAAGATACGAAAGTCTTGTGAAACAGAATTCAGAGCTACTAAAACGATCAGCTGATCTGGAAAAACAAGCATATTTTCTCAACACCTCCCTGGCCACTCTTTCACAAGCTACTTTCACACAATCCCAGTTAGTTTCAAGTGTCGAAAAACGGGCACGTCAGCTAAAATATGCTATGGATTTTTTAACTAAAAAACTAGACGAACTAAAAATCGAATAAGAATAGAGTAATGACACCAGAGTGGAAAAATATCCTTTTTAACAATTCCGAAGAGAACATTCAGAAGATTAGGACCCTATTAATATTCTACTCCCGAGAAAGCGCGAATTTAGCGAGAACCAATCTCCACCTCCAATTGGAAATAGAATGTCTGGAAGAAAAAATTAACCTTATACACGTCTTAATTACACAAGAACAAGACAAATCTATTTCGCTTACCGAATCCTTAAGCAAAGTGGAAAAGTTATTAACGGACCTAAAACTATAATGTTCTTAAGAAA